ACGGCGGAGGTCGGAATGAAACAGATGTCGACACATTGACCTCAAATCGACTTACTGTCCGCCGGTGTGTACCGGTTCTTTGGAGCACGTGGGATGTCTGAAACGAGTGTTTAGTACGCCAAACAAGAAAGACGCGGATAATGAATTCACGTATTAATCGGGTCGAAATACGCCTTGTCCTTCACTGTACGCCATTTTCGCGTTTTCTTATCTTTAGAAGCGGTGGCTGTTTATTTCGATTGGTCTACCTGCTTAGAGCCCGCGGTCCTGACCGAGCGATTGGGACCCTTTCGGCTGCGTGATGTTTTTACAATCTGATACGTGCGTCCGCTGAACGGCCGACGAGGTCCGCTCGGCTTGTCAGCTAACCCAACTTTGTCGAAGCTCCTGGACTCGAGTACAGGCCGTTTTCCGCAAGGACAAAGTAGGAGGCAAGGGCTATCTTATCGTTATCGTGGATTTGTTTCTTTTTATCGCGTGAGAACCTTCACTAGACGCGACGAGGGTATAGCCTGCGTAAGCCACCGTGGCATCTTACCCCTTTTTGGCGATGCGCCGGTTCGTTTTACGCGTCCGACCCCAGCCGACGATACGACCGGCTGGACCCAGTTAAGCGGTGTTGAAATTGCATAGTCACTGCGTTGTTGTTTTGTTTTTTGTTTTATTTTGGCTTCGTTACCGCCGGTTAAAATTAATCACGCACAAAAAATAAAGAAAGCCCGGAATGGCGGCGGAGCGGCGGGTTCCTACTGTGTGTGTTTGGTCTATGTGAGACCGAACGCGAAAAGACGGCGAGCGAGGCGACGTGACGAGGCACTTTTGGCGCTGCTTTATTGTTGGCGCCACCGGATTGTAGCGTCGGCTACGGTCCGACTTTGAGTGAAACGGGGTGCAGCTCTAAACTGGACCAGTTTAAATTGCCGCCGACTGCGTATCTTTGCGATTGACAACATATATTTATAGAGAAGTACTTTATTTCGAGATGGCACGCGAAGAGGTTTGTGACCCCCGTGGCGCATTCTTCTGAATAAGAACGAGAGCATGTGTATAAAAAATGCTGGCTTTTAAATAAATAAAAGCAAATATCCGCAAAAACAAAAAAGAAAGCTGCTTTTTATCGCGAGATCGAACAATTCTGGCGGCGTGCACTCGCTGACTTGGAACACGAAACTCGCCATAATTTATATCTACGGGGTGAGAGGCCTTTCATAACTGAGAGTAGTCCGCCTTTTTGTGCCTATCTTTATTTTTTTTTCTTTATTGATGCTTATATCTTTTAAAGCAGGAACCGAATCAACAGCGCTTTCCTCGCCTTCCCCTTTATCAACAGCAACGCCACAGGGGCGTAAAACGCGGAATAAATTGTGTTTTCAATCAATCCTTAGATAGAAGGTAGATAAGAGAGTGCCGTCTTAATACTCGGCGTTCTCCAAGATACCTTTATTTTTTATTTCTCCTCGTGTATATTGTTGTTTCTCCTCGTGCATACTGTTGTTCCTTCGTCGTTTCCTAATGTCCTTTATAATCCCAGTTCAATTATCAACCTCGGAGCAGCAAATAGAAAGCCGGCAGTTGATGCCACTATATTATTTACTTTTTTTAATATGTTATACGTTCTATAAATTATCAACTTGCACACCGATGTAATCATCCCTAACAATAGGTTCCTTAGGCTTAACATATACCAAAAACATTTACGAATTTGTAAATTTTAATTTTCGTTAATGATGTTAGTTGTGTGCCGCTTTTTGTGTTAGGACGTTTTTGTTGTTTTTTTGTTTTTTTTCTATGCCCGCCGTTTCCTACATAGTCATGCCTAAAATGTATATACAAATTTACGTTGCCTTATTACAAAAGAGCGCTAACATATTTTTCTTTTTAAAAGTGTATTATGTTATATTTTCTGCTAGTTTAAAGAACGCAGTGTGTATCGAGTTTCAATGATCCAAATAAGCTGAAGTAAATTTAATTTCGACTTACAGCACTTTCTCAAGTATGGTGCTTGGAACGCGTTTTCCGATTCGTGTGTTTAGCGCGTCCAAATAACGGTCCCACGATTTCCGCCTGGGGACGTCGTCATAGAAGTGTCATGTTGACGCCGGTCGCGACCCTGGCGGTGTCCCAGCAGCAGTGCTGGATGTAGCAGGCACCTCTTTTGCTCCACGTTGATCTCCAGTTTTGACAGTCCACGGAATCTTCAGCAGCCTGGAGTTGGGACGCCGCGACGACAAAGACACTCGTGTTCTCTTGTGCTTTTTTCGCCGGCATTGCCACTACCAACCGCCAGGATGGCGACATTCGACAGCGTGACACTCTGGCTTCTGTGACGTCATTTGTTGCGATTTCGGGACCACTTTTGATGTAAGGGCAGCATAGGACGACGCTAAAAACACCAGTTGGAGACGCGTTCGAGGCTAAAGAAAGAAACCGGATCTCGATCCAGTGTTTCCCAAACTGTAAGTCGCGAACCCCAAGGGAATAACGACAGATATAGCGGAGAGGGGCGAGGCGAGGGGTTCATCAGGCGTCTTGGGGACTCGAAAAAGAAAATGTTAACTTAGCTTTTCTGCGGCGACGTCGATGGAAACGACGTACAGGTCGGAGCTCAACATCGAGCAGGGACTGGGAGCTGCCGGGCTTAAACTCCCCCTTTGTTTTTAGAAGCTGCGCTCTAACAAACAAGTTCACTTCAGGGATTAAGAATAAAGTCATTCCTGCTGGCATACAATTTGTTTCGGCCGTTTTTAGCTCAGCCGTTTCACTGTGACTATAAAAACTATGAAATAAGATTTTAGCGACATGTTTTATGCAGTAAATTTGTGTTTGTTCATGCACTGAAACCCAGAAGCTTGGGACATAGCAAAAAGTTGGGGAGAGGGTCGCGACGAGATATTTTATATTTCTGATGGATCTCAAGGTAGCAGAGTTCGGAAAGCGCTGACCTGAACAGCTAACCTTTATTTCTATAATTCGGATGTCGTAAAGCATAGAGGGTTGTTCTTAATCTTTCTTGTATGACAAGGTCTAACCTCCAAAGCAAGCTGTTTTATTATTTTTATTTTCAAGATAATGTTGTACATGTTTTAAATTTCAGTTCTCTTGAAATAAGATAGGTCTGTCGTTCCACCAACTCCTTTTCTATACCAAATATGCCAATGCGGTAAAACATATTTTAAAAGTTCGACGCATTCATGTAAGCGGCTTCGTCTTCCGACCTTAATTTTGTATACCCTCACCGGTTGTTTTTTTTTAGCCCTAACAAATATATGTGCTTTTGTAAAGGGTAATCGAAGATGAATCTATTGCCCTACACTAACTTTCTCTTTAATCATACAAATATGAGCGCAACAGACGGAGCACAAGAAAGGACAGGACAGGACAAGAGCTACTTTCAACGTTAGTTGGAAACGTCAGTTAAATTGTCAGTTCAAAGTAGCGCTTCTTCTGTTTTGTCCTCCTTTTCCTTTGTCTTTTGCGCTAATATTGTGTGACGCTCAACCAACCAGGCCGCAAGCGTATTTTGTCTCGCTTTAATTAATTACCGTATGAATTCTTTCCCGGATTATATGCCCGTAGCGATCAGCTGAAACTTAGCTAGCGTGTGGCAGTCGGTTATCACCCCAAACATATAGCGGAAAACCAAAGCACGGAGCTCAAATTGCGCGGCAAATATAAACTAAATTAAACCACTCATTACAAGCTGTATTCGAATTCAGTTGCTGACAACTCAAGAAACGCATGGCGTAGTTTATTATATTTACTATTCTTGCATCTTCATCGCCATTATGTCGTATGCAGTCTACCTTTAATATTATATGCGATTGTGATGTAGATATTTCTCTTGATTTCGTTAGTTTCAAGTCGGCCTTGCAAAAGCGCATTTTATCCAACCAAGAGTTAGTGGAAGGTTGTATTTGCTCTGCAAACTTTTATTTGTGCCCTTACAAATGTCTGTGTAATTTTGTGCATGTTTGTATTTGAAATAGTGTTGCTGTGAAAACGAACTGACGGTGCACCACACAAAAGTTGTTAGAGCTGTTTGTGGGCATTAAAGAAAAATAAAACATTATTATTATTATTATTATTATTATTATTATTATTATTATTATTATTATTATTATCTTCACGCTTCTTGCGTCCTGATGCTAGACTCTTATTGATTGCGGCGCGAGAGAGGAATGCTCGGGATTCACCATATCCTGCGTGCTTTACGTCGTCGGTTACTACGCGGAGATCGAGTCGTCTGCGTGTTGGGCAGTGGTGGCGGTAACGTCAAAACGACGCCGGGCTCTGATTGGCTTTGCTTAAAAGTATAGTGGGTAGACCTCAATGGCTGGATGCTCTGAGGTCTACCCACTATTTTTTTTCTTTTTTTGATCAGCCAATAAGAGCGCGGCGTTCTGACGTCATCGCAACCCCTGTGCAAGAAGCAGACGAACTTGCCCTCCGCATAGACTTATGCAGTCACTGACAGCTTAAGAAATGCCGGGCGTGGGGTGCCCCGGAAATTGTTTCGTCAGTCTACACCTAATTGGGTTGCAACATTAGCCGATAAGAACGCCAAGGAACCAATCACGGAGCAAGAAGAGTTATTATAATAAACCCCTTCCTCGAGCTGTTTAAGCTCTCTGCAACTACTGGTGCCCATATGTTTCGGTGGCGCCCTCTTGGGGTTTCCTTTCGTAACGTCACGATCAGAATTTTTCTCGCCACGATTAGCGGGATTTATATCTGCCTCGTCGTCGTGATTGGCAGTTGCCTCGCCGTGAACCGGTGATTTGGCAGGCATTATCAGTGTACACAGGAACCTAGCTGTCATTAGGCCTACCGCGAACTTCGAGTCGAACACAGCGACGCCTTTGGTCGCGCACATCGGCAACAGTTGCTCCTCAAACCAGTTCGGCTGATTTAGTGAGCTCAAATTTTTACGTTTAGAACGTCATCCGGGCCGTCATGAGCCCTTCGCTACTTTGCTTCCCTTCTTGGTCACCCAAACTTACCATGCCTCCACCGTATATTCTCCAGTGCACAAACAAAGAAAAGTGAAGATACCGGCTCTTCTGTAAGGAACACCGGGCTCCGCACAATTTCGAAATGCATTTCCCGGCGCGCCGCCGACACCACCACAACAACCACCACGCCTCGATCGCCTACTTCGTGCGCCGAGTCAACGAACCGGTGCCCCTCCCACCTGCGAGAGACGCACGGGCAATCGGTAAGTGCATCTGGTACGCTTCGCAAGCTCAGCTCTTCGGGCAGCTGCGATAAAGCCGACCCGCGCCGGTGATCAAAAAGTGCGCTACTTGGCAGGTGTGTGCCATGTGGTCCGACAACTTTTGCTTGTTGAATACTTTAACCTCCCGCACATTTGTTTCTTTCTTCTTTTTTTGCGAAGCTCTCGGCAGCCGACGTTTATTTGGAGAGTCGTTTTACCGAAGGTTCACTGTACTATATTGAGTGCATCTTATCTGCTCTTCTGAGAGGGTATTGTGATGTCTGGCCATAGCGAAAATATCGATGGCTCTCCTTTTCTATGCAGTTCCCAGTGTAGCGGAACTATTTAAGGACCGTCAGAAAGTAGCGATTCAGGCGACTTGGCTCATGACTATACCATATAAAAACAGCTCGCGAAAAAGTAGTGCTTATGAAAGGAGTAGACAGGACGAGCGCGCGACCTTCTCGGCAGATGTGGGTGCGCCTCTTTGTTCTCGCGTGCATGTCATTTTTAGCGGAAGGAACTACGCTCTTTCTTCAAATGCAATAACTTCTAAGCGTTTTTTTTTTACTGCCAATGGTTTGGGAACATTTTCTCTGGCGCCTAGAAACGGCTTGTAACAGAGGCCCACGAGTCTTTAGCCACAGAAGGAAAGCTCCTCGGTGATCGTTTTTGAGCCGTAGGAATCGGCTGAAATGCGTTACTGTCGACGGGTCACGTACATTTTCCCAAGTGAAACGCAATAGAAATAATGCACTGGTAGTAGAAACGAATAACTTTCCTTGTTAGAGAAGACGAAAAAGAGAGTGAGAGAAAGAGAACGAGAGAGAGAGCTTACTTAACAAACACAATAGGATACGACACTTCAAAGGCCAATCTCCGGATAGGGCAAATACTACCTAGAAGGCAAAGCCTTTGCGTAATCATTAGTGGATACCCGACAGGGAGCGAACACACTGAACTTTGACGAGAGTACATTGCAAAGCGCTAGACTCGTACGTCTTATCGTCACCGCCTGCAGCGTCGCACTTGTCAGATGCAACAAGACAAGCTGGCGGTGACGCTGATGCGAGCTAGGCAGCGCCGCGTAGATTCACTCCTGATTGGGAAGGGGGGGGGGGGGGATGCAAGCCTTGTCCTCTAGGCGGTATTGTTAAGGTTGCCCTAAAATGCAGTTCATTTTCCGGCATTGGTAATATACCTCGCCATGCGTTTCCGCGGCACGTGTGTGTTTGTCCTTTATCCCATTTGTTGTTCGTCGCCTCCGGCTAGAATCATGTGCAACATTCATCAGCTCGCCTCTTTTACGCCGCCCCCCCCCCCCCCCCCCAAATCCGAAAACTTTGTCCATCCGTCCGTCAGCGCATTTTCCGCTAAATTTAGCGGCGAAACTGGCGTCACGTGACGTCACCCGTAACGTGACCTATGCACCTTGGTAAAAGTGACGGCATTTGACCTAGACGCCAACTCAGTTTTCCGCTACATTTAGTGTGAAAATTCGCGTCTTGTGGTCAAAACATTTACTCATGTGCCCCTCTACATTAAGGGAAAAATCGACGTCACGCAAGCTCTACACCAATTAAGTTACTCGCTAAATTTAGCGGGAAACTTCACGTTTTGTGACCTAGACGCCAATACAGTCCCTCCCTTCCCCCCCCCCCCTAAATTTAGCAGAGGAAATCGACGTCAGGTCACGTGACCTATACAACCATTCAGTTTTCCCGCCAAATTTACCAAGGAGAGGGGAGAATATAAGTCACGTAACACACCGATCCCCCCCCCCCCCCCTTTATTCCCGATATATAATGCATTACGTGCATTCTGGGAATTTGAAGAGAAAGGTCGCTGCCAATTTATTAACCCTGTCTTCTATTTAGATGACTTCGATATCGACTGAACTTCGGAGCTTAAAAAGATAGTGGACCGCTTCTTTTGGAAATTTTCTTCCGTAGCCTGCGATTGACAAACTACCACGCTCAAGACATCTAACGTAATTCACTTTCACTTCTTTCTCCATACGAGAATGTGCGTTGAAAGGCCGCCGGCGGCAAACCAATTCAGACTAGGTACCACGTGATACACACACGATGAGTCTCGATCTGCGAGCGCGTCCAACTAATCTAGTTAAGGAGACCAAAACAGTAAACAAAGAAGACGAATTACCTGCGTCAAGATCGCGATCCCGCGGCGCACAAAACCGGGAATGCATGCAGCTCGATATCCAAGCGACAGATTGAGTCCGGGCGTGGGTACGCCAGCGGGTATTACGTGAAAGCATGGGAGTCGCGCTCACCTTTTCCAGCCAATGTTACGTTGTAAGCGCGCGCGAAAGCCAGTCGCAATGTCCTCTCGTGCACGGGGTCGCGTGCTGGTGGGCGGCGCGGCAATAATGAGAACGGGTTTGGATAGCGAAATCTCGCCACTGACCCGGCTGCCGGAATCCGCTCGCCACCGGACACTCTTTCTACACGAAGGCTGCTGCGGCACTCCGCCCTGTCAATCTGCAAAAGTCGACAAGGCCGCTTCGCCACGTTTTTCCGTTTGTTTCTTCTTAGAACAGCGTACAGTAGACATAACTAAAAAAAGAATATGAAGCGGTCCCCATTGGCCCACAGGAGCCATTTACCAGCTGCAACCTAGTAGGAAGGAATGAAACGGGAGATATCTACTAAGCACTTTGTAGGCGCCGGAATTACGTCCTTCCGGCTGAGTAGATGCCCGTTCGATAAGAACTGTTCAAGTTAACCAGAAAATGGTTATATGGTTACAGTGTGGCTATAATAAACCAATCCTGGCTGCTATCGGGAGAAGATCGAGGTTAGCGAATGTCTCACCCTTGAAGTAGAAGCAAGGTGAGTTATTATTATTCAAAGAGCTCTGATTTGTCCGTGGTGTGATACGGGTAAGCCTCCGGCAAGTCTAAACCGGTGGCTGGTTCGCCCCTTTGGTTTGAAAGTAAACGAATCCTAGGGTGGAGACTCCAGAAACACTGTGGTGCGAATTCTTGTCTTTCCCTTTATGGTTTGTGGAACTTGTTTTGTTCCTCTCTCCCTCAACATCTTATTTCAACGTTAGTATTGCATGCATGCTGAGACTGGCTGTTCGGTCATGCATAATTTATTTTTGGAGTGAGAAACTTCCACGAATTACACTGATATTAATGATAATGTGAATCGAGACTAAATGCTTCCTCACTCATGCTACAATGCATAAGAATTTGTCCACATAATACCGGGACTAAGAAAAGTGGGCTGCAACTGTTATTTCAAGCATCCGTTGTAATTATTAATTATTTTCTTGGCTGTTCGTCACGTGCACTTCTCGCAACTTTTTTATACTTTGCCATTTCTCCTAACAGGGTCATCAATATTACAACACAAACTTTCTAAGGGTAAGAAACAAATTTTGAGGGTTCTGAAATAGTTCTACAAACAATAAAACATATACATGTTAAGTGTCTCAAAATATTACGTTCCAATCGCTGCACAGGGTTGGTTATCAGTGCAAACACATGTATTCAATACGGCGGAACTACTTCTTTGTACTGTGAATACTTCCTGGAACTCTATCTCCGCACACAAACTTCTACATCAATCTGATAATAAGCTTTTATTTAATTTACTCCAGAGTCCGCAGTGTTGTCAGTGTTGTAATAAGCTAAACAAATGCGGCTGTCAAATATGCGGCTGTCAAAAATATAATCAGTGTTGTAATAAGCTAAACAAATGCGGCTGTCAAATATGACACCTCTAAACTTAGAGGTTTGCCTAATCGTGCACGATAGAACCAGCAGTAAGTATGTAAGGTAGAAAAATGTTATAAGCGTAGCAAAATTGGTATGAAACTAAAGCTTGGATTTCAATGTTCTTCAATGTACTACAAATCTACCGCCATATTCGATTTAAATAGAGCGCCTTTCCTATCAACCCAGAGGCTCCCATGTTCGGGAGTGCCTCGAAGTAGAGGCTTTGGGACTGTCTCCTTTACTATCATCCACCCGACCGTAATGTGAAAGGCCGTCGACATTTTAGCTACGCGGTGCGACAGTAGTAACTGAATCTCGGCAAGATATCTAGGTGCGATAAGTTCCCACTCACGCGATGGCACGTCGCATAGCAAAGCCCTCAAACATACGACTCCACTTCGCTTTCTAACGCCAGACATTAACATGTGACTGTCAAACTTCAGATATTACTTGTTATGGCTGCTATTACCCCTTACACCCAACATATTGTGTTTGCAGCAATCTATATCCGAGCACTAATTATATTTATCAAAATAAAACTTTGGTAGCTCATATACAATGTATCACGAGAAAAATGCTAGTGAAACTTTTGCAGTGAAAAGATAGATTGCTACTAAATTATAAAACAAAGGTCGCATATTTTTCTCACGAAGTATATTTAGTTCTTTTGTCAGTTTCATGACTCTGCAAGGCACTCATACTGTTTCCTTTTTTCGATTCTTCACATTACACGAGAGAAACAACTTCGCCGATATTGCGACAACAGGAAATCCGGAATGCGCAGAACTGCCGAGAAAACGTGTTTCTTTTTTAAACATTTCTTCGCTGTTTGTTGTTTAGGATGGTTGTACCATTACAAAAAGTTTTTTTTTAAATAATAGCTATACCCTTTAACTTAATGTCTTGTTATGCCTTCTTTCCAATAATATATGTACTATAGATTTATACTTGATTTTGGGTCGTGGAAATGTTATGCTGTGAGAACAAAACATTGCTGCGATGCGTGCTCTATTTCGTGCGTTGCATCAGCAAATACCTTTAGAGATTTATCCAGAATACTCAATAGTCATGTTATTCATTTTATGTAAGAGTTCTTAACTGCAGTGCCAAAACTAGCAGTAAGCCCTGGCCTTCAGTAACAGCCAAATAAACTTGGCTATGTGTACCTATGTATGGTTATATCCGTCTGCGAGTTTTGTATATTACTTTGCGTACTCATGTGTCTTGATAACCCATGCTGTGTTAAGAAATCCATTTTTTTTTTTGTATTGTGACTCCCCTTACTGTAATGCCCTTCGGGGCGATGTAGGTAATAAATAAATAAAAATAATTAAGTAACGAGCTTGATACTATCCTAGATTATGAAACGGGGGGTATTCCACATTCAGCATTCGAATCGCGCCATATCCTGTAGCTCCAATTTGTTTAATCAACGTGACAATTATTGATCCCCATATTCTAAATTACTACAACCATTGGCACGGGATACACACCAGAAATCACCAAACAATTCGTTCTTGGTTGCTTTTTCACTCGGTAATGAGCGTTTCACGACCGTCACCGCCCTCGTTTTCTTTTTTTTAAACAAAAGCCAACTATAGAGTTTTAGGTATGGTTTCAGCATCTAAAAAAGACACAAAACCGTGTTTCCATTTTGTGGTTTTAGAGGGCTTCTGACAGGGTTACGTGAAAAGACTGCCCCAAAAAGAACTCCCACCAGTAAGTTCTTTGGTTTAAAAAAAATATAGCCAGGAGAAGTGTGGCGAAGTGAACAACCTACCTATCAGCCTTTGCAATAACAGGGCTCATTGCGCGAAGTATTTCTGTAATATTAAAAAGCTTTATTCCGCCGCTTTTGATTGGCAATAAATGCATTCGTTTTCTCGGAGCGATCGGTTGCTTCAATTATGAAATCGATCCCGAAAGCTTTTCGTTCGAATTTTATCCAAGCTCGATGAAAATGGTCCAGTTTCGGTTCAACTCCCGAGAAAGCGCGATAACAACTGAAAGGGGCCAGGTCCGTTTATATTCACATATTAAGTAAACTCATGACCATGAAAAAGAAACCTTGCTTATTTTCGTTACAAGGTTAATTAATAAATTAGTGAAGCTGTAACCTGTTCATTACTTGCCTGCGTGGAACAAAAACAACCAGCCTGTTTCACGCGATGCACTTTACTAAGGAGTAACCACAATGTGAAAGCTAACCGAAGGAGCAGTATTGACGTTATTACACACGTCTCGATAAAAATGATAGCTCTGATCCGATAACATATATTTAGGGGAAGAGAAAGTTAATGATTAGAAGAGCAACAATGTTCGAAAAGCTCCGAGGGAGCTAGAACACATTCCCTTTCTGCCATCACTTCGAAATTTTGTTTTTGCAGTAAGCGCGGTTTGTAGCTATGATTGAATTGCCCAGTATTTGCCTTCAATTCGAAATTAGACATCACGTGCACAGTGCGAGATTCTTAAAGAAGGTGACAAGTAACACCTACTGTAAATTTTTAGGAGTGTTAATTTTCTTGTCAAAAACAGTGGCCTGTGTACCTAGGTAGCAATGACTCCTACAAACATCACAGTTTTCTGTACCTCATTTTTATAACACCAGTTATGACACTGAAAAATTAGTCTTCAGAGAAATTTCAACCTATGTCTGTAAAATTGAACACAAATAACACCAGATATTCTTTTTTCTTGGCAATAGCTATCTTCTTCTGGCTTATAAAACTAAGTTTATAATTTCCCTAAGTTTCTTCTGAAGGTGAACTTTGGGGGTTCTCAGGGAAAGTAAGCGACAAATGTGGGTATTACTTTAAATAAAGATATGCAGAAGTCTCAAAAAAGAAAGGTGATGGCAATGATTCAAAATACAAAGGCCAACTTAAAAGCTTCCGATAAAAATTTGGAAATAAAAAGGTTGTCCTTATTTTTTTTTTGGATACTCTTTCATACGTCATAATGCTTCACTAAAAGTAAAACCCGCAAAGATAAATTTCAGGTTTTGCTTTGGAACGACAAGCGCAACTGTCCCGTTCAATCCCAATAAAGCAAAAGTAAGCCTTCCTCTTTCTTTTTTTTCTGTGGTACAGGCTAGTAGGAAGCAAGAAAAAAAGTTTCCTAAATTCTGGGGGCCTCAGAGTTGTTATCAATATTTTACTAAGAGACGCATCTTCTGCGTTGGTCACCACTTTGAGGCCTCCGGGAGTCGTCTTTTTTGGTATGTTGAGGTGAAAAAAAAAGATTTTTCAAAGAAACACCTAAAACTGTTGAACAATTTTCTTAGGTATATAGGGGCGTGCACGTTTTCTCTACGATTACCTATGCAGTGTACTTGACGCTCCAAACTCGACTTGTATCTATAAATATGAGACGGACTACAAAATGTACAATCTCAATCAGAAGCAAAAAAAAAACTAAAAAATTTCGACAGGACTTTTACCGCGCAGGTATTAAGAAATAGGGGTCCACAATTAACGATAAAGCAAAAATACAGGTCAAAACGCGTTCGCATAATCCCACATGAAATTACCCAGATCAAACTAATTGCAAGCCCTACGGACAAGCGTCGACAAACATTGGCTTCAATAAATCAAAAAGAAATAGAAGCCAATGTACCTTGTGTTTGCGCGAGGAAATGACCATTAGATGTTTCATTTCATATTCCTTTTGCTTCTAATGACATCCGTTTACGTTTCAGAGCTAAACGGCTTTCGTTACAATAACCGTATCCTTTTTTTCATTGTTGGCTAGCACGGTATTGTAATGATTAGACATGGCCGATTTTCGTTATTTTACAATCTTTTTCCACGCGTAAGAACTAATAGGTATGAAAAAGACGGGATTATTTTCTTTTGTTATTTTCTCTGCGGCTGCATTGTCAACGAAGAATTTTTATTACACTCACTGGTCAATGGGCATGCGCATCCGTTTTGATTCGGTTCTTTGGGTTACTTCGAGGGTTATTTCTGCAAAATTACGGTCCTGCAAATACCTGCTGGATTGCCTTTTTATTTATTTTTTCAGCAAGTCCACGAAAGACGCACTGAAATAAAATCCATAAACAAGATGGCGCATTAAAACCCGGAACGACTCAAAGGTATCGCTTTTTGAATCAGCAGTGAACCGAGCACCAATTATGCAAGGCGAAAGATGAGATATAGTGTGCATGGCTGGAGATACATACTCGTGTTGTTGTTTTTCATGACAGGGCAAACTGTTACAATGTAAATTTAAGTGAGTTTCTCCGAGATCGTTGTAGAAATAACCCTCCATACAAGCCGCCTCAGCATCCATCAATCATTATATTTTCTGCCTGTCCTCACTTGTTTTGTTTTCTATGCTACCGACAGCATCACCCTAACAGAACGGTAGAGGTGCGCAGCAATGCTCATCACCTATATTGAACATCAGCGCCGCTGTGATCCTGTCATCCCGCCTCGTTAAGGCAATTATCCGCAGCAGCAGACCAAACACCAGCCCATGGCTCCGTCGCCCTGCCCCTGCTCCGAAACCATGACAAGCCGAATCACACGAGGCCGACCGACGATCCGCCGTCTCTGTTCCCAACCCCCGGCGTTTTGAAGCTTCTTGACGTGACTTCCCAGCCCGGACCGTGCCGTCGTGCGGCTGTGGCTAGTGCAGAGGTCTTTGATGCTGCAGAAGAGGCTGAAATTCAACGTTCTTCATCTTCATCCTCACTCTCGCTGTCGGCGGCCGTCCTTTGTTATTATATGTGTGTGGCTTTGTAATTGTGCTTCATGTGTTCGTATATTCACCGGCCGGGTTGGCCGTTTTCGTCGGAGGGAGGACTGTTAGGAAGGTGAAGATGACGAGGGAGCAGTGGCACGCACGCCCCCCCTCGCGCCAGGACCCACGTGCCGGCTCGGCTTTCATAAATCCTTTGTCAGTTTTATCATCGTGTCCTATCCTTTCTGGAGCTGACAACATCACACCAATGAGATAATATTTTTTTTCAACTTGCCATTATACATGCTTCGTCATGGTGTCTTTCGTTAAACTCCATGCTCAAAAAACAATCTCTCGAACATTTATCACTTCCTAATATATATATATATATATATATATATATATATATATATATATATATATATATATATATATATATATATATATATATATATATATACAACGGGCATGGTGGCGGGAGGCCGAAGGCGTGGGTATATAACTGAGAAGAAAAAAACCCTTAGTGAAAACAGCAACAACGAACGATTTAATCTTCGACGTTTTGCCCGGTGTCCGGCCTTATATATATATATATATATATATATATATATATATATATATATATATTAGCAAGTGATAGCTATTCGAGAGTTTGTTTTTTCGACCTAAAGTTTAACGAAAGACACGAAAGACCATGACGGGGCCACAGTAGCAACATGAAAATATACCTGATTTAATGGAATTATCATAAGGGGCTATGAAGTAACGAAAACCAACAGATGAGCAGACGAAGTCAGTATAGCATTCTCGCGAATCTCTCACCTGTGAAATTGTTCCCCAAACTGGTTAGATTCTGAATGACTACCATGTGTTGCACACTTTCACTACGCATTGCTATTCAGGACTGAATTTGTTGTTGTTTCTAAGCAAAACCGCGATACATACACTTGCATAAAGAAGAGTTGACGTGTTAAAGTTTGATGTATGCCTTGTTGAGTTTTGAATTTTTCCGTTATGATGCAAAACGCTGGGAAAGAAAGAAAATGAAACTCACAATGTGTGTGCGTCCGGCGCCTTCAGCGAGTCCACTGATAGGTCACCACTTCATTGTATAGCAAATATCTTTTTCCGTTCTGTACGGCGACATCGACAATGCTTTGCTTATCGATGTTGCCGTGCTGACGTTTTCTTCGTATATCTTATCTATTGTCTATTGTCGAGTAGGGGCAGAAACATTCAAATCCTCCTCACGCTAGGAATTGCTCAATGATTCTTTGGAAGACTTTACATAAGACTAAAAGCAAAGCTGTTCGAAAAAAAAAATGTCGTATTTTTTTATCAGCGAGCTCAGAAGTAGCAAAACGCACGTTCATGTTGTGTTTAATGTTATTCTCCGTTTAATGTTACTGCAATTTTCTTTACAAATGGTTGCTTTTTTTATGCATGACTTTCATGAATGCCATATTAGTTTGATGTCCCTGTAATGTTCTTGAGAATATAAAATTTACAAAATTTGGGAAGTATTTTTTATTTACTTGATTGCAACAATTCGCACGTCTGTTAAAAGAGCCAAACCTGCAGAGAATCGCAAGAATTAAGTGGCATAAGGTGGGTACATTTTAATAAGCTCCTTCAAAAACAAGCACCTATTTCATGTGATGCCGAAATCGATAGTTACTTTCGTAACTAAGAGAATTTATTTGTGTTTCTGGTGACAGATCCATCCTATCTTATTAAATTTCTAAAAATTAAGTTTGATAAAATGAACCCCCTTTCCGCGCGGGGCGGCGGAGAAAAGCTCACCGGAGAAAAGCTCACCGGAGATAAGCTCACCGGAGAAAAGCTCACCGCAAAACCGGCAGATGCGGAGAAAAGCTCACCGATTTTGTTTTTAACTTAGCGGATTCCGCGCCAAACCTGGCAATTTAACACAATTCGCATTCGTCACTTCATTTAACATATGTCCTCGTTTTTTTTAATATTCTTGAAGTTCATTGGACATATTTACTCATTCCTCAAAAATTTCTAATCACCCATTTTGTATTTAAAGGGAAGATGGGGCACTTCTACATTTGAGAAAAAACGCTTGAATTGCGTTCATTTGGCCTCTAGAATAACAGATATCACAATTATATTTCAATGCGACACGCCGGAGAGCCATAAGAGCAATCTGAAAATAGGGCTGAAGCCCCGCCTCCCTAGCCTTGGCAAGCCAAAAGATCCGTCGATGACGTCACGTACAGCGACTGTCTTTCGCGTTTTTCTCGCGTTTAACAATACTTGCGCAGCAAATGGTTTTGGTATTCGGGTTCAGGAGGTGAAAATACACTAGAATTAACTTATAACTCATTTTTTTCAAGAAGCTCCGTAGCTTCCCTTTAAATGAAGCCACAAGTATAAAATCGTACACCGGTAAAAAAGACAGCAATTTATTGACAGCTGACAGTACGCCGTCGGTAGCTCTGTCAGATGAAAAGGTTTGTTCTTTGCGAGCTAATATGAACCGTTTCAGCTCCGAATATTGTGCACTGCCTAATAGAAAAAAAGGCGTTTGTTGATTTAATCAGTGTCCGCTACATGTTTTCTTTCTCTTAATTTCACTAACAAACCTTTAGTTGCGAGAACAGCTTAGTCTTGTCGTGTTTGTTGTCTTTACTCAGTCGCCGTCATTTGAGCGGTTTTTATCATGTTTAACGTTTGCCAACTCGCCCAATTCTCTCCTTTACATAATACGAGTTCTTATATAGTTCACGAGTAACAACAATGCCAGTGTGCGGCTCTGAAGGTCGTGGATGGCTCACCGTAGAAGAAGCACTATCCCACAAAGGCAACATGCGGATCGCCAGCACGAACGGCTAGAAAACGTGCATGTCCGTAGAAGAAAGAAGCCTCGATATCCTACTGACTGTTTTTTCCTTTTTCCAAAAGTTAACAAAAGCTTCTAAGAGAATTTCAAGCAGGGCGTTGTTGCGCATCCACTTCCGGATATTCGGCATTTACAATATTGTTTTCTTAGGTTTAGGCAGACATTAAGTTTTCAACTTTTTCCTGTTCTTCAAGTTCATAAAGCTCTCGATTAGGCTTTCGTTGCCTAGAGAGCAGGCCACAAAAAACACTCGCCCGCAATTATTATTTTGGGAGCAGTATACCCAATTAAGCTTAACAAATATTTTAAAAAATTAGATTTTCTTTTTTACGAAGCTGACGAATTTTAATGATAAATTGATATATGTTACGCATGATCCAACAGCCTTTATATAAATAGAAGAAAAAAAATCGGTGAGCCTTTCTCCGCATACGCTCAATGGCCGGTGAGCTTTTCTCCGCATCCGCCGGTTTTGCGGTGAGCTTATCTCCGGTGAGCTTTTCTCCGGTGAGCTTTACTCCGGTGAGCTTTTCTCCGGTGAGCTTTTCTCCGGGATTCTTCCGCGCGTGTCATAGAATCTTTGGCAATCTTTTATATAATATTTGGCAAATCAACGTCGGTTTCTATCACCATAACGTCGCAAAAAACATACACAACAATATTCTAGATGCGTTTCCATTCAATGTAATATTACGAAGTATATACCATGAAAACAAAATGAGGCTAATGCGCTTGTCCTGTGTGTTTTTCCTGTGTGCTTCTTCGTCTTTTGTCTCGTCTTTTTTTACACTATTGTTAATATGAATGAGGCTAATGGAATGCGGACATAAACTGTGATTCCTTAGTCTCTTGGCATCGACTTATCTGTGCCTCGTCATAAGGTCAACCTTCAAAAGGAGAGAGGTGCGGAAGTCGAGGCAATCGATCTCTAACTTCTTGAATGACCTCCTCATTGTCAGTTGTTAATTTTTTTAGATTTAAATAATTTGATCTTGATGCAACGATATAGCTCTTCTTTGCGAGAGACGGGTTGGTGATCAGTGACAGCTGAAAAAACGCAAAACGTAACTGTTATGATTTCGTGATTTTTTTTTTTCGTGATTTTTATTTTTTTACGCTTGTTCTTATTTGTTAATGCCGCAACCAGAACGGTTGAGAAGCGATAATTACACGCTTAGTACGGGTGTGCGAATATTCGAAACTTCGAACACTTCGCGAATGATGTTTCCTATTCCATTCGATTTGCCTCGCTCTTTCGCTGTTCAAAATATTCGAGTTCTTCGAATACTTCGGAAACTAGGAATTACGCGGAACTCACCGAATAGTGTCAACTCGCGGTAGAGTTCCCAGTCTTGTTTTTGGACAAACCCAAAAAGCTAACCTAAGTTCCTTTTTTTTTTATATGATGCATTGTAACATTATTTGCGGTAGCGCGATCTGTCCTTTGCTTGCCATGATGTCTGGACTCCGGAGTTGGCGAAGTGGTCGTGACGCAAACGCTGCGATAGATTTTATGAAGTTTGCAACGGCCCGTGCGTTGTCTTAAACACAAACGCGACGGACCACTCTCACTACTGTGGATAAAGATATGGATTTACGGCTGACCTCTGCTATCGCCGATATCTGGCTCGTGTTATTTTCCGCTTGATTTTCCGGTTCATCAGTTTGCCGGTATTCCTTTTGTTATTTATTTCTATGAGTTTTCACTAATAAAAGCGAGACTTGCTTCCTTCGAAAGAAACAAAAACAAGCGATGTATTTTTAATTTATTCCTTCTTTGTGTTGCCCTCTATCGGCAGATCTATTGCACACGGAAAGAGATGGCGCAAAGTCAGGGCCGCTGCACGGCGCAATCGCACAATCAGCACGATCTTAAAAAAAAAAAAATTAGGTTGTTTGTATGTTTATACAGCCTGGAATTTCGTCTGCCTCCAGGGGCGACAAGTCTCCCAGCTGTAGATGAGATATTTAGCCGGTGCAGTACAGCCGCTAGCCTGGGGTCTTTAACGTGCATCACGCAGTAGTGATACACAACCGCACGCCTGTATTATGCCCATCCAGATCGAAACGGGCAGGGGTGGGGATTGAACCCAGAATCCTGGGTTCTGCAGCGCAAACTTTCGCTCCACGTGCTCCAAGCCGGTGTGCGCTAGCCCACTCGACGACCGATCCCCCCAGCACGATCTCCAACTCCGCCGTGGCCTGCCGACCCCCCTCTGCTCGTGTACTTCGGTTTACGTTCACGTGGTTGCGTTCACCCGCGTAAAACGATTTTGCACAAAGTCGGTGCAGCTGCGCGACGCGGTCTTCTACTTTGTATTGTGGCTTGCCGACCTGCCACCGCTTGTGTACTTTCGTTTACGTTCACGTAGTGGCGTTCGTCCGCGACGCGATTACCGAATGCGTTGTGGCTTGCCGACCCGCCTCTACTTGTGTACTTTCATTTAAGCTTTGTAACTTTACTTTTTGAATGGTGTTTTACTGACTGATCTTTTATTTCATCTCTATTTTATCGGTCACAAGTGTTACATTTTTCTTATTGCAATAAAATTGACTTTTTCATAAATGTTTGTTGAGAAACAAATTACAGTTGTGTTTTAATTGAGCATTTTTTATATGACTTGTGCGATTCAAGGCAAATTAAATTTACATAGCTTATCTGCCATAACAATTTGATTACATGTATGTACTTGGGTCTGATGTAACCTAACTAGTTTTGTTAGTATGGAAAATCGAATTTGCAAAGTTTATGGGAAGGATTAAGACAAATTGAAATACTGAAATAAGAAAATGAACATACTATATCAGTGAACGTAAGCGTATGTGGAATACAATAAGGCATAAATTAAAGCCCTAGGATGCTTTATAAATGTTTTAGGAAACTTTTAAAGTCTCCATTTTCAAACTGATTTATTGCAGGGAGTCTAAAAGGCACCTAAAAAAGGCCTGATGTCCTATTTATTATACGTGTACCCTTTATTGCATATTTTACACATACACCTACCAGAGAAAAAAATATATGAAGTCTAGATATGGTGCTAGTGGAGATATGGCTTCCATAAAATAGTAAAAGATGTAAATAGTTCACTCACAAATAATATTAAAAAAACATCCGCTGACCCATTTTACTTCGTTTGCAAGACAATATTTCAAGATAAGAGACTTATTTAATGAAAATCGTTCAGGACAAGACGATAAGTGCCTGCAAATCGTCGAAAACCGCAATT